TACCCTATAGAGGTGGGTCAGGGTCTACAACGAGTAGCCCTCCTACCCTATAGAGGTGGGTCAGGGTCTACAACGAGTAGCCCTCCTACCCTATAGAGGTGGGTCAGGGTCTACAACGAGCAGCCCTCCTACCCTATAGAGGTGGGTCAGGGTCTACAACGAGTAGCCCTCCTACCCTATAGAGGTTTGTCAGGGTCTAGTTCTTATGGCTATATATGTACATGTACGCCTCGTACATGTACATATATAGATAGCAATTATTTTGTATTAAATAAGTAGACCCCACTAGAGGTCTACATGGGGTAAAATTCAATAGACAGAGTAATTTTTTGTATTAAATGTGTGTGGCAGAACCCTGGGCGTTCTTGTATAGAATGTATTTATTCTTATATTGACATACGCGAGTGTCTGGATGAGGTTGTATTAATGGAATCACACAATTTACACATGAGATTTATACAAGAATGCTTGTAATCCCAATATCCCCTCCCCGGTATGGTGCTGTAATAACACAAGGTCCACACAGAACGCCAAGGAGCTGTTGTATTAACTTAATATAACTCTTTACGTTACTGTATGCCTCTGTATAAACACAATACCATTATCCCCCGTCCCTGTATGTCTGTATTAACACAAGGCTCACACAGAACCCCGCAGAGCTGTGTCAGGAGTTGCTGCAGTTCGTGTCCCTGTATGTCTGTATTAACACAAGCATCACACAGACCCGGGGCAGCTATTGTATTGATACAATATCAATATTTCCCGTTTCTGCAATACGCTGTATTAATACAATATAACTTTCGTCCCTGTATGGCTCTGTATTAACACAATACCACTCTCCCCCGCCCCTGTATACCCCTGTATTAACACAAGGCTCACACAGAACCCCGCAGAGCTGTGTCAGGAGTTGCTGCAGTTCGTGTCCCTGTATGTCTGTATTAACACAAGGCTCACACAGAACCCAGCAGAGCTGTGTCAGGAGTTTGCGGCGGGGGCGGCAGGGTGGACGGGAAGATGAAGGACGTCGCCCAGGCGCTACAAGCCCTACACAACGTCTGCTCGGCCAACCCTGGTGGGCGACATTTTTTATTTTATATTTATTTATTTCGTTTCGTTTTTTATTTTATATTATTTATATATATTATTATTATTTCGTTTTTTATTTTATATTAATTTTAAAGGGGGGATTAAATGTTTATATTTTTCAATTTTAAGGGGGGAATAATTTTTTCAATATAAGGGGGTATTGAATGTTTTATTTCATTAATTATTAAGCGCGAATTAATTTTTTTGATTAATTATTAAGCGAAAATTAAATTTTTTATTTTTTAATTTTAAGGGGAGGGGATTAATTTTTTTAATATAAGGGGGGTGTAAATGTTTTTTTATTTAATTATAAGGGGGTATTAAATGTTTTTCATTTAATTTTAAGGGGAGTTTATATGCTTTATTTTTTAATTTTAAGGGGGGAGGGATTATTTTTCTTAATATGAGGAGGGATCAAATGTTTTTTTATTATTTAATTTTAAGGGGGGATTAAATGCTTGTTTTTTATATAATTTTAAAGATGGGATTAAACTTCTTTTACTTAATTTTAGAGGGGGATTAAATGTTTTTTTTAACTTAAGCAGGGAATTAAATGTTTTTTTTTTTCCAATGAGTTTTAATGGGGACTAAATGTTTTTTTACTTAATTTTGATTGAAAATTAATTTTTTTACTATATTTTAAGGGAGAATTATATGTTTTTTGTTTATTTATGGTAGATTTTTATATTCTGTTATGATTTTGATTCGTTGGGGGGAAGTGGGATTTTCGATAGTATGTGGCGAAAATTTGAGTGGGGGTTACTAGATTAGGATGAACTTTAATGTTGCATAAAAAAAAAACTATTTATAGTCACGACGTTGTAAGAAAAAGGTATGGGTAAAAATGTATGAGATGCGAGGGGAGAAACGGGCTGTAAGTTGGGGTTGTCGACCCTGTGGGGGGATGAAATGACATGCGAGGTATATTGTGGTCCTGATGGGGTCCTCGGGGCTATACACTGGGGTTCTGTGGTCCTGGGGTTTTGCCTGCTGGGGGATGAATGCGAATTTAGACGTCCAGCGTGGCCTGCTACGTCTGAAACACATACTAAGGCCTCATTATTGTATTATTATAATATTTTATTATTTGTATAATTTAATAATATTTACGTATTATATATTTTATTATTATATATAATAGTATAATAATATATATTATACATTAGTCATATTATACGTATCATAATGTTATGTAGAATGTAATAATATATATTATATATCAGTTATATCATATTAAATTATTAGTTTAAATGTATCTTTGAATTAGGTTTGGTCTGCAGTGCACTGCGCTTATATTATCACCAAAATATGTTTAGCTTTATAACCATGTAATTATATAGTACCAAATATTTCGAGTTGTCAATGGGGCAAACATAAAAAAATTTAAAATGCATACAGAACTGCACTTATCCCTTATTTGCTTAATATTTTCTCTGCATGTCTGTAGTTGAACTTGATCTTAAAACTTCATAAAAAATTTCTAGCAGTAATACAATTTAAATTTAATTTTTTAATTTCAGTTTTAATTCATCATCAGCACTTTTCAACAAATTTCTTGTAGAATCACTGTTGTTTTGTAACATTTTTAACACATGTCAGCATTATGAAATTATTATTGTAATAATAATTGTACTTCATTATTACACAAATAATTATTAATGAAATTATTAATCAGTAATTATTAATTATTAATGAAATTAACAATCTTCAGCATTATTGTTTGGTTGTTTAGTGTCAATATAGCATGTTTGTGAAGTGTCAGCACCACTTCTGCACCACTTTCCATCACCCTTCTTCACCTCTTCACCCTTCACCACACCAATTCATGAAAAATTTGTTTTCCGGATATTGTTGGGGATATTTTTATGTGTGTACCTCAGGTCGCTCCTCTGGCATCGGCGACGATCCCCAGCCTGGTGAGTCATGGCTAAGTGGGTCAGGGGTGATGGTTAAGTGGGTCAGGGGTGATGGCTAAGTGGGTCAGGGGTGATGGTTAAGTGGGTCAGGGGTGATGGCTATATGGCTAAGTGGGTCAGGGGTGATGGCTAAGTGGGTCAGGGGTGATGGCTAAGTGGGTCAGGGGTGGTGGCTAAGTGGGTCAGGGGTGATGGCTAAGTGGGTCAGGGGTCATGGCTAAGTGGGTCAGGGGTCATGGCTAAGTGGGTCAGGGGTCATGGCTAAGTGGGTCAGGGGTGGTGGCTAAGTGGGTGAGGGGTCATGGCTAAGTGGGTCAGGGGTCATGGCTAAGTGGGTCAGTATACGTACATGAGATTTACAGTACAGTATACAGGGTACATGAGATTTACAGTACAGTATACGGGGTGTTATACACGAGAATTACAGTACAGTATACAGGGTGGTTGTACATGAGAATTACAGTACAGTATACAGGGTGGTGATACATGAGTTACAGTACAGTATACGGGGTGTTATACATGAGAGACACTCTACAGTATATGGGGTGGTAATACACGAGTTACAGTACAGTATACAGGGTGGTGATACATGAGAATTACAGTACAGTATACGGGGTGGTAATACACGAGTTATAGTAGAGCTATAGGCTAAAACGTCGACCGTTAGGTTGCAGTAACTCTAACGCTAGTTACATAGCGGCGTGCTTGTCAGCTTCTGGGGGAAGATATAAGGTTGCCAGCGCTTTTATATAGTCTCGGCTTCCGCCCGCTGATGAGGTCTTGATCACGTGATGTTGTCCAGACGCTGACTCAGGTCTATACTTATTATATTGTTATTATAATAGTTATTATATCAGGTCTATAGTTATTTTTACATCTATCTATCACGTCTAGTTAATATTATTTATCAATTATAATGAAAAGAATAAGACGTCTGATTGACACCGGACAGAAATGTGGCTTGGTGGATTGGTGGGGCGATTGCACGCGTGCCACACTTTCATATACACGTGTTCATGGGCACGTAATTAGTAAACAAATAACATAATATCCTTCTTTTTCTTCTTATCCTGTGCATGGGTTCATAAACTCACCCCGCACGCTTATTCATGCACTTCACTCTATTTATATGTTTCCCATAAAAATTCAGCATGAATAATAATGTTAAAAATAATATTGAGGTTTAATTTTCTTTAACTTAATGCCCTGCATGTTCGTCGGTTGCTGGAATTTATCTTTAAAATTAGTTTTATTAATTGTAATTAGCGTGGCATGACATAGTCATTATATGTATATCATTAAACTGACATTATTTATACCGTATAATTGATATCATTCAGAATTACGAACTATACAGACACTATACGGGCACTATACAGGCACTATACAGGCATCGTACAGACACTATACAGGCACAATACAGACGCTACAGTCACTAATACAGGCACTAATACAGGCACTATACAGGCACCATAAAGACACTATACAGGCACTATACAGACACTAATACAGGCACTATACAGTCACTAATACATGCACTATACGGGCACCATACAGACACTATACAGTCACTAATACAGGCACTATACGGGCACCATACAGACACTATACAGGCACTATACGGGCACCATACAGACACTAATACAGACACTATACAGGCACTAATACAGAGCCCACACAGGCGTAGAGCTGCAGTGTGTAGGACACTTCCGGCTGCTGCTGTCACTGCTGCGGCTGGAAGCCAGCGCTGTCAGCAGCCTGCAGGACACTGTCAGCGTGCAGCGTGCGGTGCTGCGTCTGCTGACAGTCGTGGCTACCAGCGCTGACTGTGTTGCTGACATCGCCTCGTCTCAGGTACTACGCGGCTGACAGTCGTGGCTACCAGCGCTGACTGTGTTGCTGACATCGCCTCGTCTCAGGTACGGGGCTGACAGTCGTGGCTACCAGCGCTGACTGTGTTGCTGACATCGCCTCGTCTCAGGTACGGGGCTGACAGTCGTGGCTACCAGCGCTGACTGTGTTGCTGACATCGCCTCGTCTCAGGTACGGGGCTGACAGTCGTGGCTACCAGCGCTGACTGTGTTGCTGACATCGCCTCGTCTCAGGTACGGGGCTGACAGTCGTGGCTACCAGCGCTGACTGTGTTGCTGACATCGCCTCGTCTCAGGTACGGGGCTGACAGTCGTGGCTACCAGCGCTGACTGTGTTGCTGACATCGCCTCGTCTCAGNGAGTATGACAAGTGTGTCCTGAGAGTATGACAAGTGTGTCCTGAGAGTATGACAAGTGTGTCATACCGAGCTTGTAGGCTGCCCAGATGCTGCACTTCAAGTCCGGCCGAAACAGATATGAGCGGCTGATTTACGCGCTCCCCGAGCCCTGGGCGGCGCCTGATGCAGAGTCTGGCCCGCAACTAATTTTGTCATGGTTACATCTTTTCGTTTGTATTATATTAATTGACAGTCGTGGACGTGGATAACATACATCTATGCTTTCATTCAATGAATGAACCCGCTATACACAGCATCAGCACACACATGTGTATTGATGAATTGTTTATTGATATAAAGTCAATGAACCTGCCTGATGCAGTTAATGGTATACCTTCTGCTGATACGCAGCATCTTGACCCACTTGTCTGACCCACCTTTTACCTGTGAATGATGGTCCTGACCCACTTACAGGTTGTGGTGTACCTGCTGCTGGCGCTGCACAGCCGTCAGCTGCTGCAGGAGAGGCTGCTGACACTCAGCATCTTGACCCACTTGTCTGACCCACTTACAGGTTGTGGTGTACCTGCTGCTGGCGCTACACAGTCGTCAGCTGCTGCAGGAGAGGCTGCTGACACTCAGCATCCTGCAGGCCCTCGTCAGCAGCACCAGCGTCGTCAAGGAGCTCCTCAGCAAAGGTCAGATCTCACGTCCTCACGTGCGGATTTATTTATTATCCGTAATTGTTTATCTGTCATAGTTTATCCGGCATTCTTTTTCCGTCATTATTTATTGAAGTGCAAGTCCATTCATATTCATGCTAATTTAGATATATACCTTCTTTCTGGTGATATATATACGTTCTATGTTTCGTATAGTACGTATGTCAACTTGCGATGCTGATCTGTTTATATATATTATTTATTTTTATTCGTAGGAAAGCTCCAATCTTGACTTTAAACTATTCTTCTACACGCTTTTTCCCTCCCTTGGTTTTCCAAAGTTTAAATATGTCGTGCCGAAATCGCGGAATTGCCGATTCCATGGAATCGTCAGCCAGTTTGCCGAATCTGTAGAATTAGCATTTCGTTGCTGATTAAGAAAATAGAGTTAGAGAAAAGTCAACACTCTTAAGTTGATTCATTACCCATTCATTTCTCTAAGTGCATTTATACCTTAACTGGTCAACAGAATAGGAATTGTAGGAACAATAGGAACATAAGGCCTTATTAACATAGTAATGGCAGCAAATGATGCTGGATAATAGTCAATGGTTGAACTAATTGCACCATAGGAATGGTAGCTTATGGTTCTTTAATGTTAATGGTAATGGTAGCTAATGGTGCTAGGTAACGGTACTGGGTAACGTCTAATGGTAGCTAATGTTGCTGCGCAATGGTTTCACCGTGACTAATGGTAGATGCTGGTGCTGAATAATGGTAAAGGCCAATGGTTCCACCATGGTAATGGTAGCTGTTGGTGCTGAGTAATGTCTTATGGTACATAATGGTGCTGGGTAATGGTTCCACCATGGTAATGGTAACTAATGGTGCTGAGTAACGTCTTATGGTAGCTAATGGTGCTGGGTAATGGTCGCATCACGTTAATGGTAACTACTGATGCTACAGGCGGGGTGCTGTACCTGCTGGCTGTGTTCTGCTGCGAGGACACCACGCCTGACGTCAGGGAGAAGGCAGGTGAGTCATGCTGACACACTTCTGGTGCTGACACACTTCTGGTGCTGCCACACTTCTGGTGCTGACACACTTCTGGTGCTGACACACTTCTGGTGCTGACACACTTCTGGTGCTGACACACTTCTGGTGCTGACACACTTCTGGGTCATGCTGACACACTTCTGGTGCTGACACACTTCTGG